TATTATGAATATTCATCAGTTCTGTAAGTTTCAAGTCAAAAGGTAAAATGGTTTTCCACTTATCGTGTTATCGGTGCTGCATATATGCTGAAAAAAGTGAAAAAACAGCATAAATTCCCTAAAAGTGACCCGATCATGCTGATTTTCGAACTTGACCTGCGTATTATGAATATTCATCAGTTCTGCAAGTTTCAAGTCAAAAGATAAAATGGTTTTCCACTTATCGTGTTATCGGTAAAAGTGCACGGCGACGGCGACGACGGCGACGGCGCCGACAGACGCAGATGATGGCTATATGTACAGACACATCTGTGTCTGTACATAAAAATGAAAAATATAATCTTGTTTTATCATTACCACTAGGAAAAAATTCTTAGAAAACAATATGAGAAATATAAACCAGCCTGCCAGGCCTCGCATCACAGATCATCAGTGACAGCACTCACTACCATGGGGAAAGCTTCTGGAGTATTATTTCAGTGTCACTGTGTGATAGGGGGCATTCATCCACAGCAAGCACATTTGTCACCTCACTCATCAAAGCAGTGGGCATTGCAATAATCATACACCAATGGTCTCAATAACACTAATATTAATATAATTCAAGTTATTTGTTCTGTGAAATTCAACCATATCAAAATGTAATTAAAAATCTCATCACAACTGTTGGACATGAAACTGGCAGTAAGACAGTGGTAGAGCAATGCTGTGGGGCAGAGGTGAAGACATGGCGGCTGTGAAGACATTACAGTTAGTTCTGAAGCAACAGAAAGTGCAGGTGTCACACAAACCTTCCTCCTAACCTCCTCCTCTGAGTCCTCAGTACGTGATGAAGACAGACTCACGCTGCCCTGACTGCTGGTTGTAGCCGGAGACATCTTGCTGGACAATTGGGCGCGCTCTCGTCTCACCACCTCCGTCCTCTCTGTCTTTTCTTCCCTCATGGTGTGTCCGTTCTCTCGCGGCTCCACGGAGAATGTCTTCAGCCTGGGCTGCACCGGGGCCACGGGGATCTCCCTCTCATCTAGAGGAGGCGGAGGGGTGGGCGGGGACCGAGAGAATGGCTGCTCTTCATCGTAACTTGTTATGAACGTGGTGGTTGTCATGGTGGCCTTCGTGTCATCAGGGGACATGTCCAGAGGCGGCTCCTCCTCCTCCTCCACTGCATTCTCCTCACTGATAGGAGCATAGTTAGCAGGAGGGTATTCAAACATTGCTTTGTTATTGTCATGTCGCATCTGAGCCTCTGTCTCGCTGTGCGCTCTGATCATCCCCTTGGAAACAGGAGGGGTGACAACAGGACTGTAATATTATATTATATTATATTATATTATATTATATTATATTATATTATATTATATTATATTTCAGTTACATCATCCCTTGGATACAGAGGGGGTGACAACATACTTAAAGGAGAAATCGAGGCATTTCATGTCAATTATCCTTCATTTCAGGTCCATTGAAACAAACCAGTAGGCTAAATCACTGATTAGCTGAAAAACCTATTTTATATGAATTACACTTACACACAAAGTAAAAAACATAACAAAAACAAACAAGAAATTAGACCCACTCTTTAAATAGATGGAGAAGCAATTACCTGGTGTCCAGTGGCTCTCCCACCTCCTCTGGGATGTTTTCGATGTCCTCTGTTCTGGTCAGCTGATGGTCATTCGGATGGCGTAGGCTGTCAGGGATGTTCGCCACCTCTGGAGAACGAGCCAAGTGAGGTTCATCCATCTGATGTTCAATCTCCTCCTGCTGAAGAGTGGTTAAGACTGGTGCTGACATCTTTCTGTCAAAGTCCTTGTGGGGCGACCTCTGCGGCTGGGAGGGTTCTGGGGGGACGGGAATCTGGGAGACGTCCACACGCTTGGCCTTGGGAGACTGGCTGGTGACATCTGGAGGTGAAGCACACCATAATGCTTGACAACACATGACAATTCAGCAGACCTTGACCTCTGACACAATCTGCTCAGACAAGGTCCAGTTTGACTGGAAATAGGGCTAATTTGCACCATCACAACTTAACATATCAGACAGTCACGCTGTAGCCATTTAAATCTAAGTAAAATAAATCTGATCACAGAAGTGCAAGTTAGGACTCAATTCCGGTCCAATGTGGTCATGGTCTGAGCACCCCTGATATATTGTGTTATTTACCAACTTCTTTCTGTTAAGTTACTGTAGCAACCATTACAAATACTTACAGTTAAAACAGTACTCACTTCAGTCTACAAACAAAACTACCAACTTTTCCGTAGCTTTTAAGCAGGGCATCTAGGGTAGTCTTTATAATTAAGTTATCCAGCAGAGAAAAAAAACTAAATCTATAAAGAAAACATCATTCAGTCATTACTTAGTGCCCATTATTTCTCCCTGCCCCCCTCCATTGGCCTGCTCTTCTCTCACACATTTTACAGGGTAATTGAATTACAGCAAGTCTATTGAGGCTGACAGCCCTAGTCCTGGGTTACAGGAAAGAAGAAACCTCCTCAAATTGAAAATCAATTTTCTGAGACATTCTGTTGTCTTCTCATCAATAATGCAGCTGGAGTGTTGTGTGTCTTCAGTGTGGAGAGGTAGACCTAGCTGTCAACCGGAACAACAATAGCGCTCCAATGGTTATACAGAGCAAACTGTGGCTGGCTGAATAAAGGGTGGAATGAGATACTGAGAATGCCTCATGGAATACTGATGACAAGGTTTCCCACCCACTGCTGCCATTTTTTCCATCTCAGCAAATAAATCCAGAGCTTAATACCCTGGAAAAATTCATATCCAATTTATATGCTTTGATTGCCAGTTTCCCCATATAATTTATCTGGTAAGTATCTATTGACGATATATATTTTATTTATTCATCAATCTAGGACAAACTTTTCTGCTTATTTCAGAATCAATTTTTTTCCAGATTATGTGTCCCTCAAAATGCAGAAAATCAAGCAACACTGCTTCATTAACTCAACTTCTGGCCACCATTTCACCGACTTTCATATGATCAACACTAATCAGATTTCACAGTGATGTGGCCAATCAAGCAGCAACTCATTACTGACCAATCAGCACCAGGCAAGTGGGGGCCAGGTGCATTCTGGGTATTTCTTAGTCAACTGGTCAGCCCCTCCCCCTGTTTGGATGTTCAACCAACACTTCAATGTGATTAGATCTGATCCCATTGACATGTAAACTGAGGCGTTATGATGATACGTCTGGCATTGTTGGCTTGTGAAATGGGAGTGTGGTTAGTCGAGACATGCTGCTGTGTCAATACAACCAAAGCTCTGTAAACACTGGACTCTCCCCCCACATATCTACTATCACTGTCTGTCCTGCTCTAGGAGAGGGGACACTTTATCTTCACACATTTCATTGTGTGCCATCAAAAGATGTTATAAATTCTTATCGACTCCAGAGTGGCAGTAACTGTCGCTGTGTGTTCCTGTTTACTCTCAATGACTGTAAGTGACAAGATGCTGTATTACATCATGTTAATCATATTTACTGAGGATACCATGCTGATATTTCTTATCTTTTATCTCAGGAGTGGCACACAGTTTACCATACTCTTTTGTGCAAAAGCAGGAAAGCTGCTGGGAGATGGCGGGAGATGGGGGTACTGTTCAGTGAGGGCTGAGAGGGCAGAATCCCCACCAATCTACAACCAGTGCACTACCATTCAAACAAGGCTGTGTGTGTGTGTGTGTGTGTGTGTGTGTGTGTGCGCGCGTGTGTGCGCGCGCGCGTACGTGTGCATAAGTTTAATTAGAGAGTGATATTTCATGGTGTATCAGTTTTTAGAATCTTTCATAGAAACAACTGCATATTCCTCACACTAATGCAATTTTTGGAATAACTTGAAAGATGATTTGAAACAGGGTTCAGCAACAGAATTTGACAAGACTTAGGAAAAATACCCTTCTCGTGCAACCTAAGAAATAGATCCCGACTGAAAAATCATTTAGGTATTCAACAGGTTGGATACTCTTTAAACATTTTACATCACTTAAAAGCCAACAATGCCATATATTTGTGTAAATTATATATCAGAACATAAGACATTTGGTTCTAAGCAAAGATTTTTATTATAATTACAAGTTGAGCTAAGCCCTAGCATATATTCCATACAAAGTCAAAAAAGTGCCAATAACAAAACAGTCTGTGATCAAATTCTCCCAACCCACATTAACAAAAAATCAGTGCTTCAGGGTTGGGAGATGACATTCATTTCTACATACTTAACAACAAATTCCAACCTTTTGGAAATAAAACAATTGTATTTGGCTGGACATAAAGTGCACCATATCTACCTCCAGACAAAAATTTCTCAGCAGAGTTCTGAGCCCCTGCAGTAACGGGACAGTGTGTTAGGTGAGACCGAAAATGTAACAACGCAATCCTCACTTCAGTTACACTGGCCCCCCTAGTCCCTTACTACTACAGATTTCATCAATACTGACACATTAAATACATGAAAAGAAATAAACCTTGTTGACAATTTATCACATTTGCTTAATCGAACTATGGGCCCATTCAGAACCAGTTGGTTCGTGCACTAACTAGTCTGTGGATCAAATATGGCGCCACCCACTTAAAAGCATGCCAAGATTTCATTGCTCTGCCTCTGCTAGAACATCGTGCATGGGAGGCTAGAATCCATTGTTAAATGTGCACCGTGGACAAGTTAATCCAAAGTTCAACTGGTTATGAAGAAGCCGCCTATGTGTACACCTCCTAACCAGTGTTACATTACTGGAGTTGAATTTTCCCATAAACTCCATTTTGACACACTATCTATGGCACAATCCTATCTTTACATATCAACAAAATCACTGGTAACTCCTGGTAGAGAAAGTAAAATACACATTCACACTATTAAATCACATCTCAAAGTGCCCCAAATAGAAAAGAACTGTTAAACTTTTCCCATCTAAAAAATAATTATGTCAACACATGATGAGAGGCAATGAAAGCCATTCATATATTTATATTCCTAATGTAAAAAACATCAATGATCAATCTTAAATTCAACCTGATTACAAATCAAAACCATGTGATCAACACATTACTTGACCTTGACCTACATAAATGTCAAATTTGTAAAATAACATCATGAACCACAAACTGTAAGTTGAACTTGGCCAAGATAAAATGAAGTCTGTCATAATGATGTCTAGATACGCAGATATGTCAACTTAATTAAGGCTAAATAAAACCATCCCCAATGATTATCATCTTAATTATAATATTGATAAATACTTAAATCAGAATGAATACTTCCATAAAACTTCATACATACTTGTGTTTTAGCTCCTCAATTCAAGGCAGATTAACGCACAACTGTAGAACACTATGCAAGCAAGCATGTGCAGCGTGGTTGCGATAGCTTATTAGGTGGTCCAACAAAGAGATTAGATTGGCTTCCCAATCACACCAAGCCATGAGCTAGAACCACATGTTAACTGAGGATATGTGAGAGCCGGGTGTGACAATGTCTGACTGACAGAAGTGCATCAACGTCTTACTGTGACACTATCTCCACTATGACAGTGTGCACGTGTGTCACACTGACTATCAACTCATGGCCAATGAACACGGCATAAATAAAGCTAAGTTCATCATGGAAATCATCACAAACAAGGCTCCCATCTCTTGGATAATATTGCTGCTTGTTATAGTGCAAATAAAAAACAAAAAGTTTAAAGCAAACAAAAAGGCTTTTATCCAAAAAAAAAAAAAAAAAAAAAATTGCTTAAGTTGACTTGTGGCAGACTGCTGCTGAACAATTGAGATCAAAACAATTCACTAGGGGGAGCCACAGCTGACACTGTTGTCATGGTGATACACTGCTTTCAACAAAACATGAAAAAAAAAAACATAGGCCAACTTCCCCCATTCAACTAAATAAAAACAATCTAGAACAAAAATGCTTGACATTATCTTAAGAGGCTATTTTTAGGCAGTAAGTAAAACAGTAAATGTTCAGACATTTTGTTTTGAAATTACGCATATAAAGTGTCAGTAAATTGATTGTGAAAGTTCCAACTGTTAGTTAGGTGTGGCAGTGAGTTAGTTAAGGCAGTGCGCTAGACATTGCAGTGTGTTAGATAAGACCATTGTGAAAATGTGTAATTGGATGTCATTTCATGTCCTGATATTAAATAAACTCAGAGCTAAACAACTACATAAATTTATACTCATCAATCTATACTCATCTTTACTACAAAAATTAAACTGTAAAAATATCCTTTAATACCTGCCAGCGGTAACCAAATGTTACAAGCAGAAGCATGGCTTCTTTTACAGGCAACAACTTCTATTAAAAGAAGAAATTCAAATGCCAATTATCTCATAGTTATGGTCATTTCTTGTGTTTTTTTCAAACTGACAATGTGTTACACATGACAATGGATGTAAACTTTTCTCAATTTAATCACAAAAATTGTCTAAATCTATATATTGACTGCAAACGCCTTTGAAAAATAACAAGTTAAAACTGAAGACAATTCTAAGTTATCTGACAACACCAATCACTGTTTAAGTGAAAATCAACATCATGTAGAAACCAGTGCTAGGCAGGGTGACTATATGCCACAGATTTTTTTCTTTAACTAAAGAAATTAATCAAATGTAACAAAATACCTTCCATTGTTGACTTCTGAAAACTACTATTGCATGTCAAAATCTTCATTTCCCTAAATTATTGTAGCCTACAAAGACTACCAGCCCCAGATGCACTGGTGCCTACATGGAGTTGTTACCTTGATTACCAACATACACTGATGCTGTGTTTCCACTCAAATTGGGCTGACCTTACTTAAAGCAACCATCTCACCGGCACCTGACTGACTATGAAGTCAAAGGGCAGGTCAACCTTTCCATGAACTGCCGGTTGTTAAAG